TGGCAAGATCCCTGTACTCTTTTTGGGTGATGAACTGTACATTGTCAGAAGTGTGTACCCCTAACTCTGCAAGCCTTTTGCTTTATATAAAACTTATTTTTATTTTTTCCCTTTTATTTTTTAACATTATATTTTGATAGAACTTTGGTTGTAAGAGGTCGCCTAATGTCCAAACATAGGCATCTTAGTGCCTTTTGTAGACACCCCAGCATAGTTGAGACATCTGCATTTGGCTAACAGGTAGTGACTTGGGACTTGGAGGAGACATCGTTCTGGGGGTCAGTCAGAATAGCAGAGTATCCCAGGGCATACTAAATGGCTTATTAAAAGGCACTAGGCTTAAGCAACTGAGTCCCATTCATTAGAAAGAACAACCTGAGAAGACTGAAAAATCTGAAATATGGTTTGTTTTATTTTAAATAATGTTGTTCCTCTCTAGGAATGGCGTCCAACACTCAACGGCAGGTTCTCTTTTGGAATGGGGGTTCTGGCGGGCTTCCACCAAATGAAACTACTTTTGCCAGAATACTACACCAACAAGGTTATTCTACAGCACTTGTAGGTATGAGACATGGCAACTTGCTGCCTTTTCATTGCTTGTTATTCAAATGAGGCTGCTTCTGTAAATATTTTTCTTTGCCAAAATGTCTAGGATCAGTTAAACTACAGTTTCTTGTATGCATAACTTTCAAAAACAGCAAGGTTTTTAGAATGTCATCCACAAGCCCCAGTGTCAGCACATCGTATTTGACAAATCCAAAATGAGATTGTATAGAATACATAGACATACACTGCAAACAGAAGTTAAATGCAAATGAAATATAATTTGCTCAGTGCAGATTGCTTTAGGAAAAAGCAACAGATATTCACCAAACTATTAGACAGAAAAATGTTGTCTCCCAGCTCGTACCCAGACACCACAGTGGTCTTAATTATATCTGGTGGATAGATTTTCTGTTATGTATGCATCCTGCTTGTTATCACAGTTCAGACTCTACCTTCGTTTTCTGCAAAAGCAACTCTGCAAAAAAAGCTGAGTCCTATTGACTTCTGGGTTTTGGATCAGAATACATGTTCAAGAAAGAAAATCCTACTAATTCTTTGCTAATTTTACCTGAACAGCAATTAAAGGATGTGCCTTTCAAGCACCTCTCATTCTTAAACTTTTTGATGTAGTCAAAGGTGTCCTGTGCTTAATTGTAATTACCGTGATTTTTCACACCTCTGCTTGGTTCTGGTGCGCTGAGGTGTCATTTACTTCCTAAATCAAAGTGAGTCTTTGTGACTTCACACAAGCCTGTGCAAGGGGGTGAACTTCCCCTAGCTCACTGCAGGCTGTTACAGCTTATACTGTAAACTACATTCATACACATGATCACACAGATGGTTGGCAGTTCTCAGAAGTTACCTGTCTAGATAATAGCCCCTAGGCCCATGGTTATAGACTGACTGTCCTTCAGTGTCAGGATAGTTACGCTGCTCTGCAGTATGACTTCGTCAGCAGTGTATGATGTATTCTGATATGTCCAATTGTACTGGATAATTGGAATGGCCTATTTTTGCTCCTCATTTTAGGATGAATATAGACACACAGAGCCAATACGTACAACTTCTTCCTGAAATTTGTGCTTGGTCTGTGAAGGTCAAATAGAACTTGTGTGTAAATTAGTTTATATTTTTGCACTTCACTGTTTCTTTTGGCACAAGGGTTTCTCTCGTTTCTCCCCATCAGGCTACCCACTAACGAATGGCTACTTTATTATGTGAAAAATAATAAGCGCCAAATATTGCAACCCTTTTTGTTTGCATTCAGGGAGGTGTCTGAGCTGGACCATTGCCCTGTGCAGAATTTTAACAGTTAGGTGAGGAAAACTAGATGTTCTTGGTAGTTCAAGTGCCAATGCATGATTGCTCCCTGAGTCTGTCCCCATTCCACACCTGCTTCTCCCTTGGCCGCACCTTAACTGAGGAGTGCAGCCAACCTGTTAGAAATACAGGCAGATACACCCAAGAGTAACGATGTTGGATTTAAGATCTTTGTTTTATATTTTCAGGCAAGTGGCATATGGGTATGAACTGCAAATCCCGCTGTGATCACTGCCACCATCCTTTAAATCATGGCTTTGATTATTTTTATGGCATGCCTTTTACCCTCTTGAATGAGTGTCAAGGCACAGATGACCCTGAACTGGCCAAGTCTCTGCAAGACGCATACTGGCTTTACACAGAGATGATTGTCCTTGCAGTGCTTACTCTTTTGCTTGGAAAACTTACCAATTTATTATCAGTAAATTGGAAAATAATCATATGTCTGGCCATCTGTGGTCTCCTGTATTTCATCTCCTGGTTCTCCAGCTACGGTTTCACCAAGTACTGGAACTGTATCCTGATGAGAAACCATGATATCGCCGAACAACCAATGAATCTAGAAAAAGTTACTTCTAATATGCTGAAAGAGGCAGTTTCATTCATTGAAAGGTAACCAACAAGTTGTATTGCATTTTAAGGATTTTTAAAAATAATGTGATTGCTGTGTTGTCCACCACTAGGTTAGGCAGCTGGCATGCTGAACTTTCCGTCCTGATGCTGGCCAGTAATTTGTTGTTTTCTGGCATCCTCCTACCTGTCAGGATCCAACTGCTAGCCTTCATCTTATACATAGCTTGTCAGCTCACGAAAAGGAAAATTTCTTTTTTTTGTGTTTATGTTTTTTTCACCTAACCCAAAGGGGTCCTGCATGAGGACTGGGCCTTCTGCCAGTAGGAACAGAAAAATTATCTTAGCCTGATGAATGGACTGTCATAAAAAGTGTCAGATGAAGTTAATATTTTACAAACAGGAGAGTGCTATAGTGAGTTTTGTTTTGTTCTCCAAGGGTGTCCTTAATTTACAATACTATCAGTAGCCTCAACTGGCATTGAACAAGCCATTAAGTCTTTACAAGTATTCGTGTGTCAAGTCTGGGCATACCCTTGAATAAGGTTATACAATTTCTGTCAGGGTTTTTTAAGGAAAATTGGGTGTAAGGCAAATCTCTTCTGTAAAACTTTCAGCATCGTTAATCTCAGGTTTGCAGGATGTCCTGCCTAGCATGATGGTAAAGGGATATGGTTCCCCTGTGGGTGCACTGTCATAGAATCATAGAATGGTTTGGGTTGGAAGGGACCTTAAAGATCATCGAGTTCCAACACCCCTGCCATGGGCAGGGGCACCTCCCACCAGACAAGGTTGCTCAAAGCCTCATCCAGTCGTATCTGCCTCTTCCACGAGGGCATCTCAGATGCTCAGTGAGATCCATGTTTATTTTAAGCAAGCGAGGCCTAGTGTCCTTGCCTCTGAGAGGGTGTCAGTCTTTTGGCTGTAACCTTCCTTAGTTATTTAATGTTCTACACACATCTAGTTTGAAACCAGAAAAAGAAACCTTAATACAGAAACAAAATCTTTGAGGGGTGTTTTAATCTCCTCTGTGTCCCAAAACCTCAAAAATGCAAAGATGTAAAAATCAAAAAGTTTTGCTTTAGACCCCAACAATAATTTTTATTGAGTTAGTCACTACCATGCCAGTGTTATATTTTGGGTTGAGTGACAGTTTGCAGAGAAATAACTATTGCTTTCTTTTATTTCAGAAACAAGCATAGACCGTTTCTTCTCCTTGTTTCCTTTTTACATGTTCACACCCCTCTTGTTACCACAGAGAAGTTTCAGGGGAGAAGCAGGCATGGCCTATATGGAGATAATGTAGAGGAGATGGACTGGATGGTGGGTAAGTGGTCATCTTGAAGAAAATACTTAATTTATTTGAATGTGGAAAAGAAATTAAACAGGTGGTCACAGAACTCCCTTTTTGCATATGACAAGAATCAGTGAACTTGCCTTGGATACACAATTAGCTTCAGAGATTGCCATTCCATTACCACACCTCTTTTTTTCTTTCTTAAGATGAAAGCCCAAACTTTTCTTGTGAGGATTTGTTCTTTTTGTTTTTGTTTTTACCTGACACACTTCCGTGCTGCAGTGTTAAATGCAGTCAAATAATCAAATATATGCTTGATCATGTTGCCATCCATTTTGATTAAAATTTCTCTATCTCTGACTAGTCTCAGAAGATATAACTACTGATGGTGATGAGTATTACCTTATACAGTGTTTGTTTTGTGTACTTGTTCATTTTTGTGAAAGATTATTTCTTGGAGCAGAAACCAGAGCTCCCTCCTAGCCAAAAGGCCAAGTTAAAAAGCTATGGAGTTTCACCTAATAAATTGTGTGAAGTCAGTGTATCATGAAGACTCATGAAGTCAGTATATCGTGAAGACTCATAGTGCCAATTAGTACTCTGAGCCTTGATTTAGACCTAAGCCTTACTTAGTAGTTCCTTTCTGCTTCAATGGGAGGGAGGGAGATAGCTCCTGTTTGTATTTAGTCAAAAGTGACAACTCCATTGACAAAGTATTAATTTCCTGTCTAGGTCAAGTTTCAATCCCTGAACCTATTCTTCCTCCAATAACCATGTTTACAAAACTGTGTTTTGAGACAACCCCCATTGCTTCTGGTGGGCAGGCTGAGAACCTTTGCAAGATCTAGTTGAACCAGAGGACACTGCCATGCTCCTCTTGCAACATTTTGGCACCAGTTGCCTTCAGGCCCAAGCTATGCAAGCACAGCTGAATAGCAGAAGTCTAATATGGTTTAAGGAGCATGCCTTGCATAGGCCAAACAGGATGGCAGCTAGTGATGACAGAAGTCTCCAGGGTTGGACCACTAAGTAAGAGATTTGGGGCCTAATTAAGAACCAAGATGCCTAGACTCAATATAAACTCTTTTGGGGGGCAGGTGTCTATTTTTAGGTAAGGTCAATAAGTAGTTTGACCAAGGAGACACTCCTGTAAAGGAGAAGAGATTGAGCAAAAGAGCTAATCACTGGCTTATGCTTTTTCCTTGCTCCATTGGCCTCTTATTATTTCTGTAACACAGGATTACTCTTTGCATTGCTTGTGGTAGCTCATAACAGAACTCTTTCAGGTAAATGGGAAGACTCAGTCTTCACTGAATTTTGAGTCAAGGTCTTAAAGTTCTGACTGCATCTCTGGACATAATTATAAAGTTTTGCTTTGTTTATAGGCAGGCTTCTGGATATTATTGACAAAGAAGGCTTGAAGAATACCACATTCATTTATTTTGCATCTGATCATGGAGGATCCTTGGAGGCTCACAGAGGAAAAGCTCAGTTGGGTGGATGGAATGGGATCTATAAAGGTAGAATTTTGTTAGTGTCTACATGCATAAGACTTCCTCTTAAAAAAAAATGATAGAATAAAATACATCCAGATAGACTATATTTACTAAGATATATGCTGGGATGATGTGAT